GCAGGGGAGAGATGGATGAGCAGGGGAGTGATGGATGAGCAGGGGAGAGATGGATGAGCAGGGGAGTGATGGGCAAGCAGGGGAGTGATGGGCGAGCAGGGGAGTGATGGGCGAGCAGGGAAGTGGGGAGTGATGAGAAGAACACAGTTTTATTTTATTTTTTTAATATTTATTTATTTTTATTTTATGTATATGGGTGTTTGGCTTGTTTGTATGTCTGTATATCACATGTGTACAGTATCTGCAGAAGCCAGAAGAGAGTGTTGGCTCCTCTAGCACTGGAGTTAAAGATGTGAGCGCTGGGAATCAAACCCAGGTCCCCAGCAAGAGCAACAAGTACTCTTAACCACTGAGTGATCCTGCAGCCCCGAGAACATACATTTCATTTATTTTTTTATTTTGTTTATGTGGTAGAAATATCCATTCTAATATGATATCTTACCTCTGCATCAAAATCTCTAAAAGGTATTCCCTAGATGGTAATATAACCAGAATACAGCCTAGCTTTAGATCCACACAGTTCACATGTGCCTCTAGTATTTTCTTTTCCTACCAATTCCAATTCTTTTTCAGCTTCCGTTGATACTATTCTTGGATTATTTAAGTTCTTCTCCCCTTTTAGGAGAGAACATACATTTTAAACCCTGACCTGATTTATCTGATCAGCCCACCCTGTCACTGGACAGGTAAGAAACGCTAAAGTTCCATAAAGAATAGTGATTTGTCCAAGGTTACATGAAAAGCCAGTAGGTGACCAGGATGTCTGTTAGTGCATGCCTCCCAGATTTAGCTGGGCCTAAGGAAAATAAAACTGTAACAAATTTCAGGTGAGCAAAATAGCATTCTCAGGACGGAGTGTCAAGTCACCACGCCACATTTACATACTGTACTGTCAAGTCTGCCTATGTGGACACAGTACAGCTTTCCCAGGAGGCTGTATGAGGACACAGAGAGGTGGAAAGCAGGCTGGAAGGGTTCAGATGGAAACCCCTCGAGAGCATCCTCTCAGGTGGGGGGCAGGGGCGAAGGAGACATTTGGTAGAGAAGCAGAAAGTATCCCAGCAGGCAGCCGCCTGAGGCAGATCTGAGCAGACAGGTCGCTGCACTGTGGTGTGCACAGAACTGCATTTGTACGATAAGCATCGATCAAATCTTGCCTCTTTTGTGACAGTCGCATAAAATGATAAAGCTGGGAAGCTCACTGTCTCCGTGATAAGCAATACAGATGAAGGCCCAGAAATCATCTGGGAAGCCCTTCTTGGTCTCAGACTTGGGGCTGTTGTGAAAAACAACCCTTTCAGTCTTGTGGGCAGCAAAAAATACACACCTAAGGAGGAAGCTCGCTTCAGCTAGGAAAGGGGAGAACAAGAAGGAAAGAGCTCTGCAGTCCCACAGGAAGAGAGCGACTCAGTAAAGGTAGTAGACAGGGAATGGATGTGATTTTCTGATGGAGTCAGAAGACTGGCCATGGCATGAAGTCTGAGAGACATGGGTTGAGACCACCTCTCACAGTAATTATGCAACTATAGCAAATCACACCCTTAGCCTCAGCTTCTGCTCTACAAAATGAGTGAATAAAATGACCTTTTAGAACAACTTTTACAGCTTTAAAATTAGCATGGGAATGAATGCTTTATAGGCTCTGGGAGGACGGGTTAGTCAGTAAGTAAAATTTGTGCCTCAAAAGCACAAGGGTATGAGTTCAATACCCAGGACCCAAGTAGAAACACTGAACATGGTGGCATGTGCTTGTAACTCCAGTACTGGGGAGGCAGAGACAGGAAGATTTTACAGGGCCAGCTGGCCTGACATTCTAGCTTTACAAACCTCTTAATTTAAAAAGTATTTAATGTGTGTGTGTGTGTGCGCGCGTGCGTGCGTGTGCGCGTGCATATACAAGGGTATGTGTCACTGTGCTCATGGGGAGGAGGCCAGAGGACAGGTTAGAGGAGACGGCTCTCTCCTTCCATCATGTGGGTCCCAGAGATTGAACTCAGGTCATCAGCCATAGCAGCAGTCACCTTTAACCCCTAAGGCGTATTGCTAGCTTCATGGGTTTTGTAATCAAGTCATCCTAAGTGATGGAAGTAGTTTGGGGTTCAAAAATCAAACAAATTAGATCATTTCCCAGATAAGGAAATTCACATGGTTAACAGTTTTCCACCTTTGTAAAACAAACTTTGTTGGGGAGATTGTAGGTAATGTGGAAGATGCATTTAACATAGCACATGGGATACAGGGGAAATTCAGTGAATGTGAGTGTCCTCCTCAGAGAATGTTTTTAATGGAGTAAAGAGGGAGTTGGAGGTCATCAAGATAGCTTAGTAACAGCTGGGAGGGAGTAAAGGTGCAAGAAGAGAGCTGACCCCCACATCTCCAGTGTGGCATGCTTACTACCCCCTACACATATCTATGTGCATGCGCGCACACACACACTAATAATAATGTTTACAAATTTAAAAAACATTCAAAGTGAGGTGTGTGTGTGTGTGTATCTTGTTCTATTGTACGATATCTTCCCCCAAATCACACTTTTGCAATTTGCTTAGACCATTCCTGACCACCAGCCTATCACCACCAACCCAGCCCAGCCTCACTGCTTTCCCAGGACTCTTAGAGTCACAGAAACACTCTCACAATGCTACCATTTATTGGGGACTTACTAAACACTAGGCATTCTGCTAGTTGCTTCAGAGGTATTCTACCTTCCACACAATGAAGGCTTGATACAAGTTGCTTCCTTCCTTCTGACTGGAAGGAGTTAGCCAGAGGTGCCATTATATCCTCATAGCACACCTGCATACCAACAGTGGCTTCTTTGGTACAGTGCTTTACAGTTTATAAACCTCTTGCCAACTCACATTGACACTCTCCTTGACTCTTACCACCACAGCTCAATTACTCATTCAGCCCAGGCACTGCACACCTACAGGGTTGCCAGGCTCTCTGTGAACTCTGCAGGGATGGAGCAGGGACCTCATGAGCTCATTCTCAATTATTGATGTTTCCTTTCACATCACAATCCTTGGCCATGCTGTGTCCTTTGATAGGAGTATGTTTTACTCTAGCGCTAGTTACATCTTTCCTGTCCAAGAGACATCGCTGACCTATCTGCCTTCCTCAAATCCCTCTCCTCTGCTCCCAATGTGCTATGGCTCCTGACTACCACATGTGGCCTTTCCCAACTCTCATAATCTTCCTGTTTTTATTTATTTTTATTTTGTGTGGCATGTATGTATATGTTCTCTGTGTGAGTATGCATGTGTATGTATGTACATGTTTGTGTATGTATGTGTTTGTTGGGGTGGGGTTATGGATAGAGGTGCATTTACAGTACACATGCAGAGGCTAGGGTAGGGCACTGGTATCTTCTTCTATTTCTCCCTACCTTACTTTTTTTCTTCTTTTTAAATTTTTTTTTTGTGTGTGTATGAATGTCTTGCCTACATGTGTGTATGTGTGCCATCCAAGTGCCTGGTGCCTGTTGAGGTCAGAAGAGGGTGTCAGATTGCCCTGGAACTGGAGTTAGGATGGTTGTGAGCCACATGCTATTTCTAAGAACTGAGCCTTTGTCCTCTCCAAGAGCAACAGGTGGTCCTAACTGATGAGCCATCTCTTCAGCCCTGCTGCTTTATTTTTTGAGATGGTCAAATTTCAAGCTCCAGGGGTCTGCTCCATCTCTGTGTCTGTCCTCACAGGTGGGGTTACAGGCAGAGAACATACCAGGCTCTTAAATGCTGAGGATTTGAACTTAGGTCGCAAGTGCTCTCCTGTATGTTTGGGGGCACAGAATGAGTGTGCTCTATGTGTTTGTATGGGGCACCCACATGTGCTCTTGAACACACACACGCGCACACACACGCACACACACACACACACACATACACACACGCACCACTTTCTGTTTATAGTCTACAGCTTTTCATATGGATTTTGGGAAGGAGAGCTGTAGAAACCGGCTCCACTCCACACCTCTGTTGGCTTCTAGAAGCTGTCATCCTGCCTTCTCCGAGTCTCTTCCTTGCTTCCACTCTAGGATACAGCTGCATGCGGATGAATTTTTCTGTCCACTGTTCTCTTCTTGCCTATGACACCAGTTGGCACTGTAGTCTGGTCCAGTGCCTGCTGTCCTCATGCTGTGAGGAGCCAAGACATAGCTAACGCCAAGGCTGTACTCAACCCTCGTAACATTTCCCATCTCACCCACATGTGGCCACCTCCCTAACCTGACCCATCACCCCCACAACCTCACTCTCCAAGTCCCCTCAAGGTTCCTCCATTTCCAGCTGCAAGACCCTGTTCCAACTCCAGCACTACCTCTGCCACCCTAACCGGAACTCAGGTGCCCCTCGCCTATGTGCAGGGCATGACCCTTTCCCCTACCTAGTTCCTGCCGCTCCCTCTGCGGACGAGGTAGACCCAAATGGCCCCCCACTTTTACCTTCTTTCAAGCTTATCCCCTCCAAGCCTCACCCCTGTCTCCATCCACCGAGACCCCACACGGGTACCTGCTGGGCTCGGTTCTGCACCCTTTCACTCCCAGTTAAGACACATTCACATCTGAGAAGCCCTAATCCTCAACCCGACCAGACACCCGCCCCTGCCCAGCGCCCCTGCCTTTCATCCCTTGCTCATGTGCTCGTCTCAATACCCCCCTGGCCCACCCCAGCTCTCCACCTGCACCCCCACCCCTTTGCCTTCCCTCCATCCTTTCAGTACCCCTCCACTGCCCTCAGCAGCCTGGTACCCTCTCCTGCTGCCAGATGCCTCCAGCCACCTCTCACTGCCTGCAGTTGCTGCTCATCTGCCCCCCTAGACTCAGCGGTCGCTGCTCGCCAGTGGACCTGGGAATCCCGGGTGAGAAGCCAGCGCTCCTGCTATGATGCTGTGCGGGTCCCTGGCGGCCTCCTGCAGCCCCTCTCCGAGTCCCCTGGGCTGCCTTACACTCGGTCCCCCTGCTCCCGGGCCGCCTGGAGCAGGGTCGGGGCCGCACCCCTTACCTCGGACAAGAACTGGCTCCCGGACAGTGTAGCTGGACTGTCGCACCTGGCGGTGGTGGGCGAGAGGCGGGCGGGGTGGGTCTGGTTCCCACCTCAGCTACGAAGGGTTGAGGCTCTGACTAGAGATGGGTTGGGTTCCCGCTGGGTCCAGGCCCCGCCCCTGGGCGGAATCCGTGCAAGACTCGCCCCGCCCCCCTATCCCTGGCAGGTGTAGGGAATCCAGGATTACTTGGGATCTCCAGACTCTATATCTGGGTGACTATTATGATTTGCCCTAATTCTTAACCCACCTTCCGTAGTCTGCACCTACGGAGTGTTCAGAAGGCTTTGATGATAATGTAGGCGATGCTGGTGTCGAGTTTTAACTATTTTCAAATGCTTTACTCCATTCCCATAAACACTCAAAGAGTGAGCATAGCCTGTCTACATGTGGAAACTAAGACAGGAAGTTGGGAGTCATTCTCTTCCCTGTACACCCATCCCTTCACAATCCATGTCCTTTGAGTCTGGTAATGATGCCATCTGAATATGTCCTGTCCTCTCTCTTCCATTTCCTTTTCTCTGTATAAGGTACTCTGGTTTGAGATTCACCGCTTCCAGCCTGGACTAACGCAGCAGCTTTCCAATTTCTGCCTCCTCTCTCCACCCTCTAGGACAGTGGCCTGAGTAACCTTTTGAAATGTCATCGACCTTGTTAAAAGAATGCTCACTGCCTCCCCATCGCTACCAGTAGCATGGAGGCTGACAACCGGGTGGTTTATGCTCTTGTCTGGGCTTTAGAAGGGCCCACACTTCCAGGAGTGGTAGATTCAGGAGGTTGGACTTCATTTCCCATTGTCCTGAGGTCACTGGGCTGACAGTTGGATCTAGAGTAATTTCCTTTTTATTTTTTTTTTAAATTATGTATTTATTTTTTATGTATTGGTGTTTTACCTGTATATGTGTCTGTATGAGGGTGTCGGATTATCTGTAACTGAAGTTACAGATAGCTGTGAACTGAGATATGGGTGCTGGGAATCGAACCCAGGTCCTCTGAAAGAGCAGCCAGTACTCTTTAACCACTGAGCCATCTCTTTAGCCCTTCATTGTCCTTTTCATTTTGTTTTATTTTGTTGGTTTTTGGTTCTGTTTTTCAAGACACGGTTTCTCTGTGTAGTCCTGGCTGTCCTGGAACAAACTCTGAAGACCAGCCTGGGCTGGAGCTCAGAGATCTGCCTGCCTCTGCTGCCTGAGTGCTGAGATGAAAGGTGTGCATCACCACCGCCCCACGTTGTCCGTTTCCATAGTCGTCTCCACCCCAGATCTTAGAAGTATGAGTCAGAAAACAAAGCCAGATTTTTCTCAGTTCCATTAAGACTTGTCTGAGATGTTTCTCACCAGCCCAGGGAACAGTCCAGATGTGCAGCCTCCCTGTCTCTCCTTCAGACTCACAGGCCTTTCACTGTCGGTCAGGACCGCTTCTCACTGCATGTTTGGCTTCCATCTTTCCCGGTTTCCTCTAGCACTCAGGTTCTACCCACTGCATCCTTGGAGTACTCAGGTTACCTCTTCATCTCTGCTGAAAGCTTATCCTCCTCTGGGCACTGCCGCCACCGCCTCGGTAGCCCTCTGCAGAAAGGCTCCTGGCTTTCTTATTCCCCACATTTCCTAACACCCAGGAGGTGGGGGCAGCATTGCCACACCCACCCTTACACAAAAATTTGCTCTCCTTCGCCTCCCGGCCTTATAATTCTCTATGGCGCCTCACCACTGACTCCTCGTTACTCCCCGTGCACTGAAGACCTCAGTCGCTGGGGCACCGTCTTCACTAGCTGTGGCTCCACCATCCTGGCGTCTTCAGTCACGAATGGGGCCTCTTGATCTCTTCACATTTCTTCACTTTTACACTTACAGTCACACCTGACCCTCCTACTCACCGCCATCACAACAGAACAACACCCTGTGCTGAACTTGATTCGTCGAGGCCTACTTTCATCTTCTCATTTCAAACTGGATGAGATGGAAAGCAACTAGCCTTGCCTCACAGGAACAATGAGATAACATGGAAAACAATCCTTTCAAAGTGGGCAAACAATGTGAGAACAGATGGCATTGCTTCCATGTAGCCTCGGGTCTGATTGCTTTCTCCTCTCTACCCTGAAAGGCCATGTAAATATGGGAGAAGGGGGAGGGGGGTTTGGACACACAAAGACTAGGTGTTTTATGTTTGTTTGTTTTGCTTTTTTATCTTATTCTACTACTTGCTGGCTGAGTGATCTTAGGTCAGCTACCTCATTTTTCTGACATATGCACCCCTTTCTTATCTTTAGGAAAATCAGTAACAAAAACTGTCTCAGAGTTGTTGTGACCATCAAATGGGAAAATGATACTGGACAGCACTTGACAGAATGCCAGGCACACGGAAAGTACTTAATAAATATGAAATGCTGTGGTTATTACAACAGAAAAAAATGGCATTTTATCCACAGCTGCCTTCTTAGAAGCGTGTATCCCAGTGCACGGAAGACCCTGTTCTTCAGTGCCAGATCTTGATGAATGTAAGTTTGGGAAACTGGATGACCAAAATGCTGTGTTGAAAAAACAAAACAAAACAAACAAAACCAAGGGGGAGAAAAGATTTTGGAATTCACTCAGCAAAGTAAGAAGTAGTAATAGAGAAGGAAGAAGAAAAATGAGTAAGGAAGTCAGTGCAGGGCTGGAGACGCCTCAGAGGGTGAAGCACTTGCCCCACAAGCATGAGGAACTAAGTTTGGATCCCCAAAACCCAGGGAAAACCAGTCACAGTAGGACCAGCCTGTGATCAGAGCTTCTACAGTGAGATAGGAGGCTGAGACAGGAGAATTCCTGGCATATGCAGCCCAAACAAGAGACCCTGTATCAAAGCACAATGGAGGAGAGGCTGCCTGCTGAGGTTGTCCTCTGACTTCACGTGTGCCATAGCATGAGCATGCGCATGTGCATGCTCACACTTTTTTTTAAAGTCAGTATAAAAGTAGCTACTACACAGGTAGAGAGCCAGAAGAGCCCCCGCAACACACACTTCCATACTTCATTCTAGGAAGGTCAACAAGTACTAGAATAGACAAAGAAGTTGTGTGGTTTGTCATGCAGATGATGTGGCACCTCCTGTGATCCCTAAGGCCAATGGAAGTCCTAGGGATGCATTCTGAGAAGGGGATGTGGTGATGCTTGAGTGTGGAAATTGAGCTTGTTTCAGTCTGTCCAAGTTGAAAAGAGACACTGGAGGTAGAGGTAACAATAAAAAGTTCATGGGATTTACAGAAGCCATGTGGGGAAGCTTGAAATTACAAGAATTGTGAAATGTAAAAATGAGGTCCAAGCCCATTTGTCCCTTACAGGAACAAAAAGATGACCCTGGCATTTGGGTTGTGCCATTTATGTCCCCAGTAGCCTATGTCCCTATTCACTGGAGCTTGACCACCATAGATAAGAATAAACTAAATCAAATTACTCTAGATGGTCATCATTTCTAGATCCAAATGCCCAAGAAAAAAACAGAAAGATGAAATTCTGCCTTTTGCATTGAATCAAATTGGCTATCAATTATAATCACGGAAATACATTCATCCTCAGTCTAACCATGCAAGGCCCCTGCTCATACCCTTGATTTTTATCTTTTCTTTTCTTTTTTAAATCTTTTTTCCTTTGTTTAAAATGTAAATTAGAAATAGTCTTATTTTATATATCAATCCCAGTTCCCTCTCCCTCCCATTCTCCCATGCCCCTCACTAGCCCCCATCTTATCCCTCTTCTGTTCCATAGAAAGGGTGAGACCTTCTATGGAGGATCATCAAAGTCTGTCACATCATTTGGGGCAGAGCCTAGGCTCTCCCCCATGTGTCTAGGCTGAGAGAGTATCCCTCTATGGGGAATGGGCTCCCAATGTCCATTCATACACTAGGTATAAATGCACTTCCATTACTAGGAGCCCCATAGACTGCCCAGTCCTCTTACCTGACACCCATGTGTAGGGGGTCTCATTCCATCCTATGCTGGTTTCCAAGCTGTCAGTCTGGGGTCCATGAACTCCCCCTTGTTCAAGTTAGCTGTTTCTGCAGGCATACCCTCATTTTTTTTTTTTTTTGCATATAGAGTATTTTTTATTTAATTTTATATAACAAAGTCCAATTAAATGAAAACAAACATTTATACACAATATTTGGGAATTTGGGCGTCGTTCTTTCCAAACTACTTCCTGCTGGTAAGGGGCGCTGTCTTGGGGGATTCGAAGAAGATTCAGATATCCTAGCTGTAGTCTGTAGGGCTGTTTTGTCCAGCTGTTTGGAATGTAGGATCAGCTTGTACTCTGTTTCAGGCGGTCTGGTGTGATCAAACCACATTAGTCTGGAAGGAATCCACATCTTTTCATTTTCTGTGGAAACAAAAATAGAAATACTTTTCCCCAGTAGCTTGTTCTTCAACTTAAATTTTGGAGTCAAAGCGTTTTTTTTTTTTTTTTTTTTTAATTATTTTACATGTCGATCCCAGTTCCCTCTCCCTCCCTCCCTCGCATACCCTCATTTTTAAGGTACATCTTTTGTCTAAACTCAGCATATAGGTAAACCAACACTACAAATCAATCCCCTTTTATAAATAAGAAAAAGCTTACATCACACACTTGACAAATGGAAGAACCAGGTATCAGATGTTCTAGTCTGTGTCTAAGTTCAGGACACTTTCTATTAGATTCATTTTGGTTATTCAGTGGATACCTTTAAGATTTCTACAAATAAATTTGCCTTAAGTTTCTTCTAATTGCTAGGATAGTGCTCCAGGGTCACAGTTTTTACATGAGACATAAAACCAATGCTTTTCATAAAATGGGAATCGCTGCTCAAAGTAGGTAGCCAAATAAGTAGATGCCATTTGGAATGAACAAAGACGTTACTCCAGTCATAATGAACTGCTCCCCAAATTCAATTGCTTGGAACAGTCATCATTTATTATTTATGACAATTCTATGGGTGGCTGATTGGCCCCTTTCCTAGTGTCATATGGGCTCACTTTCAAGATGCGTTCAGTTGAAAAGTTTGGCAACCGATGCTGGCCAAGGACCAGGCACCACAGTTCTTCTCCATGTGGCCTCATCAGTAGTCTAGACCAACCACGCAGTAGCCACATGATGGTATTCCA